TGGAGGGCAGACCATGGTGTGACAAGACTGTGTCAGGGGCCTCCATCCTTTGCTGTCCAAAGTAATAAATAAACTTTATAGAAATAAAAAGGAACAATGCAAAACATCAACTAGGTGAGTGTCAGAATCCCAAGATGGAATGCAGATGGGAACACATGAATCTAAGTCCATTATAAACATATGGTATAGCTGTACTGAATGGATGGGGCAGCTAACCTAAGTAACTTTGGAGAACAGTATTCTGACTGGCAACTGTAAGGTCAAGACAAAAGACATGAAACAGAAATGCTGAACTCTTGTTGGTAAAGCTGGATCCCTTAGAGTATAGGTTAACAATTCTGATATTGCTACAGGTGTATACCTGGATCAAGCAGGAAAATAGATGACAGGGGGAGCCAGCTTTCTTTCTGTCCGAGAGGAAATTACATACAAGCAAGAAAGGAAGACCAAAGCAAAACTTGTGGCACTGGATTACCGCTGCAGACATGCGTATGAACTTGTATTTGGGTTACCATAATTACCCAAGTTTGAATACAGAAATAATAAGTAAATGGATATGCAGTGTTACATATGAAATGTTTGTCACTGACCCAAATTCTTGTGTTGAAGTCCTGACCTCCAATATGGTGACATTAGGAGGCGGTGACATTGGGAGGTGATTAGGACAAGAGGATGTCTGTAAAAAGACAACAGAGCTTAATCCCACTCCTCTCTGCTCTCCACCAGGTGAAAAAGCAATGAGAAGAGAGCGATCTGCCCATCTAATAACTAGGACAAGGACCCTCACCAGGGTATCTACTAGTGCCTTGATCTTAGACTTTTGTTTCCAGAATGATGAGAAATGTCTGTTGTTTGAGCCATTCAGTCTATAGTAATTTGTTACAGCAGTTCTAAGACACAAGGGAATATACACACACTTGCTACATCCTTTCTACCTCTGCCTGCTTAGTCTAGAAGTAGCAATATGGACACACTCGGGTATTGGTCTCTAATGGTGTTCTCCTTTCCACTAGAATAGAGTGACACACTAGACTGGCTATCCAGGGAAAGAAATCCAGCAGGCAACAGTGTTGAGGAAGACACAGTGAATGAGACCAATGAATGAGGCTAGTGACTGAGTCAGGAGGGGCTAGGAGGAGAGAATCTTTAGGAAAAGGTGATCATCAAAATCAAGTGCTATGGGGCTGGCTCTATGACACAGTGGTGATGTGCTGCTCAGGAGAGACCAGATGCCATGTGGTGACTATAACTGGAATCCCCAGCCCAGTGAGCCTGAAATGCACCATATATGTGTGTGAGTGCACAGGATCTGACAGGCTGGAGGACTACAGGAGGGGGATCTTGGTGTGACCAGATCTTGCGGAGGGGTCATATCTGTCTGTCTTGCTCATGTATGCATATGCTCTATTATTAAAAAATAAATAAAAGGAAAAACTATTTAAAGTGAAGTGTTACAGGGGTCACACAGGACACAGGGCTGTGACCTTGAGGAGGTTACTGGGAACCACAGTGGAGGCAGAGGCTTACATGCTCCAGGGTACAGATGAAGGGGACAATGAGTTAAACTTACTGGTTACAAGCTCCCCAATCAGAGTGCTGGGGAAAGGAGGAGGCTACTGGTGGAAATGAGGAGCGACCAGAGTCAAGCCTGAGCAGGAAGGGAATAAGGGCAGAGCAAGAGGGTCTCTCTTAGGGAAAGGCAATGGGACCTGTTGAAAGACTGTCATTGTCACCTATAGACACAATATGGGGCTCCTACTGGGCCAGTAAAAATGAGTTCTCAAGAAAAACATATGAGGAGACTTGAAAAAGTTCATGGGGACCAGCAGTTAGCATAAGGGCTATGGCGCTGGACTCCCATGTAGTAGACCACGGTTCAAGTCCCGGACCCAGTGGCTTAAAATTCACACTGGGCACGTGTGCATGTGTGCCCAAGATCCCAAGAGGAGAATGGAGGAGACGGGATTGCGGCGTGGCCATCCCCCCGAGGGGTGATTTCTTGCTTTCTGTCTCTGTTTGTCTCTGTCTTTCTGGTGAGTGCACGCGCCCTGTAGCAAAAATCTCTCAAAAAAAAAAAAAAGTTCATGAAATAGAATTAAAGGACTTGTTTATTGTAATGCAAAAATATTAGGTCATCAGGAAAGTCATGATGTATTTTTTTTCTGTTTTTCTATGCAAAAATGTGTCATTATTTTCCAGACAACCCAATATTTTGGAAATTTATGCATAGTTTTTTCATAACATATTTTCCAGTTTTTTGAAGACTCACGATAACAAGTAACATATTATTTCAGAAATACACTCTAGGGTCAGACCTGTGGCCTATGAAGGAACTTGGATCCCACTTGGCTGCAATTTGAATCCTGGTCCCAGAGGCTTGAGAAACATGCCAGACATCTGTGTGTGTGTGCACCCCAAATCCCAACAGGATGGAGAAATGGAAAGGGGACTGTGGTGTGATTATGCCCCCCACTAAGGGGTACTTTCTCCCTTTCCCCCTCTCTCTGATGGGTGTATGTATACCCTGGCAAATTAAAATACGGAAATGAATAAATGAAGGTAAGAGACCTGTCTAGATGCTACACGGAGAGCAGATGACATGAGAGGGCTGAGCAGGGACAGTAGTTAGGGGGCTGTCATGGCCGCCCAGGGCAGGTGGGCGAACAGCTGGATTCAGGAGACCAAATCACAGGATTTGGAGAAGACATGGATTAGGGAGGGGAAGGATAGAGGGGATGCAGATGGGAGGCTGGTGGACAGTGGCGCCATTCTCCAAGTAGGGATATGGGGGTGGAGGCTGAGGCGGGGACATGTGGTTGGGGACAGGCTGGGCCAAAGTGCAGCAGGTCTCTCATTGGACGACTTCTCAGGCCCTTTGCCTTTTGCTCTCCTTCTCCCTCTGGTCAGCCGCAGGCAGAGTCCAGATGGTCGCTGACCCAGGAAGTGCCCGCTGTGCATCCAACCCTCTGTTTGCCCAGCTAAAACAACCAGATGGCTGGACAGAGACAGGGCTGGCCACATGGCCTAGTGTTTAAGGGAGCTGACTCCCACACAGTCAACTGTGGTTGACCTGGTTCAAATCCTGGCCCTGGTGGCTTGAAAAACACAGCAGGCACATGTGTGTGCTCAAATCCCAATGGGATAGAGGTACGGAGAAGGGACTGTGGTGTGACCATGCCCTATGAGGGAGATGCTTTCTCCCTCTCTCCCTGTCTTTCTCTGGCAAGTGCACATGATCTCTGGGACAAAAAAAAAAGAAGAAGAAGAAAAAATCTACTCTAAAAATAAAAATACAGTAGAATATATGCCTAAGACCTAAGACTGGGAAACCTATTAATCTGGATTCTTCTTATGCTGATGACCATCACCTATGGAAATGCGAGGCTTTTCCTTCACTCGCAGCATCAGCATGTGTTTGTGTGGACAGTGTCTGGGAACCCTGCTGCGTGCTCACCATAACTACATTTTGGGTTCACACTTGTCGTTTTGGTTGGGACCCCTTGGTCTTCTTTTACTGACACCGATAATGATGGGGGTATAACTTAAGCTAACAGTTGATTATTCTTTACAAGAGAGGTTCAAATATGAGCCTAATTAAGAATTCCCTAACATTTATTCTGTGCTAAAACATGTACTTTTAATAAGGAAAAGCCCCCGAACATGTCATTCAGCCTAGCATACATGTGCATGCTCACACACTACCACTGCACATCTGGAAATGTCACTTGTCACCCAGGAGTAATTGGTTCATTTGTTGGGTTTGCCCTTTAAATGCTCCATGTTCTCCTGACACTGTGAGTTTCTTTTGGAGGTTTTCAGGGCTTTTACTAGCGATGACGCTGTCTGGAAAGGTGTTTCGAAGGACAAATCTGACTGGGGCAGCCTCTGGTCAGAAGGGAATGCTGTTCCCATGTGAATGGCACACAGGTCTCGCAAGAAAGGAGCAAATGCTAGTCCCACAGGCAGGACTGTGGGAGTGAGTTGGGTTACAACCAGATACACACACAATGTGCAATATTCATAACGTGTTACTACCATCACTTGACAGGTTACAACCAAGGTTGCTGTCAGCACACCTTACACATCCTCACATGATCACAGCAGGTTACAACTGCAGGTAGCAACCATAGAGAGCTACGGTCACAACTTGCTCTGCCATATAAAGCCTAGCTAACACTGAGGACCAGATCTCGGTGTATACTGTGATGGAAAGTGTAAGCTTTTGGTAGTTTGAGTGGAACTACAAATACCCGGCCTTGGGAACGATATGGCTATCCAGGGGAGCATGAGGGAGCATCCTTGTGGTGAAGGAACAACACTGCCTCCAGCTGTGGCAATGGTTAGTCAAAGCTGCACGTGATAAAATGTTATGGATTTACATGTACCCCCGTACGCACATGCACATATACCCAAACACACACAAAACTGGATGAACTCTGAATAAGGGCTGTGCTTGTCATAGCAGGATTGCTACAATGTCATCTTCCCAGATTTGACAATGTACTACAGTCATGTAAGTCATCCGGGGAAGCTGAGTGAAGGGTACACAGGAACCTGCCACAACTACAGTGCAGCTACTTGTTAGTCTCCAACTATTTCAAAGGAAAGGTATTTTCAAAGCTATCTGACCTGCTATGGATCTTTTTAAAGTGCTTGGCAGGATGAGTTTGGCCTCTCCCATCTTGGTTGGGAGGGCTGTTCACAATGTGCCCCCTGGCTCTCAGTCACCACAATTGCCACTGCCTCACAAACAGGCTAGCATGGACACAGAGCCAGTGCGGCACCTCAGCTTCAGGAACATCAGAGGCAACGTGTGGCTTTCCCAAAGTGGCTTATGAAGTCCTCCTGAGCTGCGTGGACCACAGCATTCCAAGTGAACCCCAACTTGCAGGCTCAGACATTTGGAAACCACCTTTCATTTCCCAGAGGCGGCAAAAGAAGGCTCAAAAACCTGGTTGCTGTGTTGTCACCTTTTTAACCAGAAGAATCAATGCTCTTACCTTTGCCTTTGTCAGGTTTGTATTCACCACCACTTACTAAGTCTTCCAGATCCTTGTCTGAAAAACCTGGAGAGAAAATATGCACTTCAATGAAAAATATTTCAGGAACAAGAATTGCTTCTTAGGTAATGTTGCCCACCAGTGGCAGAAATGACAGCTACTTCCAATTAAGAATGTCTCTGATGGGCGGGCTGTGGTGGTATGGCAGTAGCACATGCTCTCTGGTACTGAAGCCACATGGGAGAGTCCTAGGTTTGCTCTTAACGTTTCCCTGTACACAGGGCATGCACCCATATGTGATCCTGGTCCTGGCTGGCTGGGGGTAGATCATGGCATAGAAATTCTGTGAAGGTTGTCTCTTGTCCTAACCCACTTTCTCAGGGAAGAAACAAACATTGTTTTAAAAGGAAGAATGTCTTTGATGAATATAGTAGGCACAATTTTATGAGGTTCCCAAGATGCCCTCTGGCTGGTATATATGCCTCAATATCACTCCATCACTTTGAGTGTGAATGGGACCATGAATAGTATGGACATCACCCCATCATTAGGTCAAAGAAGGTTTTCAAAAAAATTAGTGGAAAATGTATATTATGAAAAAGCTCCTCATGATTTCCAAATTGATTTGTAGCGAAAGAAACTCATACTTTAATCCCATTTCTTTCATGAACTTTTTGAAATTACACTTGTATTACATGCAAAAGGTGAAAGAATTCTACAGATGTAATTAAGACACCCAATCGATATGACTCTGCATTAATCAAATGGGAGATGATTCTAAGTGAGAATGACTTAATCAGGTGGTCCCTTTAAAAGCAAGTTTAGGGACCAGCAGGTGTTGCAGTGGTTAAGGTGCTGGACACTCCCACATGTCCGACCATGGTTTGAGTCCCAGACCTGGTGGCTTGCTTTCTCACTTTCTCTCTCTCTCTCTCTCTCTCTCTCCCTCTCTCTCTCTGTGTGTGTGTGTGTGTGTGTGTGTATCTGGTCAAATAAAATGCATGAATAGATAAAAATAAAATCAATAATTCTAAAAAAGAAAAAAAAAGAGCAAGTTTAGGCCTTCCTGGAGCTCAGAAATGAGAAATAACAATCAATATCTCTCTCCTCCTCCCCAGGCCCCATCCCTCTCTCTGCTTCTCTTTCTCTTGCTGGTCCAAGGAGCAAGGAGTCACTGCTTCTATAGGTACAAGGAATATACTCTGTTAACAGCCACATGAGCTTAGAAGAAACCCCAGCCCTGGTCAACACTGTGACTGCTGCTTACCTGTTCCTGAACTCCAGACCAAAGGAATTTTTGAGCTCACAAATGGGCATTGTCTTCACTCACTAAGTTTCTGATAGAAAACTGGTACAATGAAGCACAAAAATCGCTAATTTTACTCAGATGTAATTAAGACACCCAATCGATATGACTCTGCATTAATCAAATGGGAGATGATTCTAAGTGAGAATGACTTAATCAGGTGGTCCCTTTAAAAGCAAGTTTAGGGACCAGCAGGTGTTGCAGTGGTTAAGGTGCTGGACACTCCCACATGTCCGACCATGGTTTGAGTCCCAGACCTGGTGGCTTGCTTTCTCACTTTCTCTCTCTCTCTCTCTCTCTCTCTCTCTCTCTCTCTCTGTGTGTGTGTGTGTGTGTGTGTATCTGGTCAAATAAAATGCATGAATAGATAAAAATAAAATCAATAATTCTAAAAAAGAAAAAAAAAGAGCAAGTTTAGGCCTTCCTGGAGCTCAGAAATGAGAAATAACAATCAATATCTCTCTCCTCCTCCCCAGGCCCCATCCCTCTCTCTGCTTCTCTTTCTCTTGCTGGTCCAAGGAGCAAGGAGTCACTGCTTCTATAGGTACAAGGAATATACTCTGTTAACAGCCACATGAGCTTAGAAGAAACCCCAGCCCTGGTCAACACTGTGACTGCTGCTTACCTGTTCCTGAACTCCAGACCAAAGGAATTTTTGAGCTCACAAATGGGCATTGTCTTCACTCACTAAGTTTCTGATAGAAAACTGGTACAATGAAGCACAAAAATCGCTAATTTTACTATCGAGTTCAATCACTGAGTACATGTCTTTTAGTATTCTGAGTGGTAAAATGAAAAAGATGCTTAAAGCATTTCTGCTGGACTCCAAAGACTACAGCTGACTCCCAAAAGGACTTTTGTGATTATTCCATGTCGAAGATGTATTAGCTACTTTTTGTCATAAAAAATCACTTTTACTAGAACAAGATTAATTATGGACATACTATGGTTAGTCTAACTTGAATATCTGGCAAGTGCTTTTTGAAAATGAATGAAATGGGGTCAAGGAAAATCACTGATAGTATCTGTTGCCAATGACAATATTTTTAAGGAAAAATTAGAATTTTGAAGACCCTCTATCCACCACTGTGAGTTTAACAGCCTCCCAGTACTTGAAGGCTTTTACTAATGAGGTCAGTGGTAACATTAACAGATGTGACTTCTGGTTTTATATAATGAAATGAAGCATTATTTGGAAGCTCAAAAAACCTAAGGGCATCACTGTTTTTCCAATGACCAATGTGCAAGGTTACAAAACGAGAAATGGGTGAAAGATCCATGGAAAGGGCAAGAGAGCCCCGTGGGACTAAGGGACCCAGGGTGGAAAGCTCACTAATATGGTTTCACATTCCACATGGTATTAACCTGTAAGAAACAACCACTAGCTGACTTCTGGTGTTCCAGAAAAGTACAATGTGCACAATGATCTAAAACATGAAAACATTCTTCCCTCTTCCAACTGCATATTTGTGTGAGGCCAGATCTCCATGTACTTCAACCAAATGACATATCACAACTGAATAGAGAAGTAAATGTGAAAATCCAACTGCCTTCCATCCAGCTAGACACTGGAGAGACACTGTAAACTAATGTCACTCATAATACCAAATTTTGTTTTGTCTTGCCAAGCATGGATGGTTCTTATAAAAAATTCCTGTGTATGGGTTCAGTATTGTTCAGCACAGATTAAGTAATTAATATTCAAAGTTTGTAAGTTCTCAGATCATAACTATTGATAGATATGAACTGTATTTTAAAAAGCTCTTGTGATCCTCAATAACTTGGGGAGTTTTAGGGTTCTCCTGTGGTTTGAAGTACTCCTGGCTCTGTCAGGCCAGGAGAGGCTCTTTGGGCCATTGTGACTAACAAGACTCTAGACCGACCAGGGAGCTACAGAGTAGGCCAGTGGTTTCAGCCAGCTTGGACTCACCTCCTCCTCCTGCAATTGGCTTCCTGCGGCCATCATCTCTATCGTTTCGATCATCCAAGGCATCAGCCAGGTCAAAATCATCTATTTTCAGAGGCCACCAAACCAAAGAAACAGCCATTAGGTTGAACCACAGGTCATACATTTGGATGCTGCCCCAGAGGAAGGCTCCATGAGATCCTCCCTTACTGCCCTCCCCAGAGTGGCCACGTTACCATGAGAACTTGCTGGAGCTCTGGTCACTGCTGGCCTTCTAGTTGTGACATGGTCCCATCGCTCTAGAAGGGAGAAGGAGGACAGCAAGGAGAGTAACGTTTAGTACCAAATCATTGCAGCTACTTCGGGACTTGGAGAAGTCATATCACGAGAAGAATAATACCCGTGTCTTAGTCCTTGAAGCCCCTCTAGGCTAGGGTGTCTGAAGAATCACACTGAGAAGGATGAGAAGATGGTGTGAGTTTAAATGAGATGCGTTCTGCTCACTTTTCTTCAGAGGATGAGTGTGGTGACATGGACATGATCCCACATGTGACCTAGTGATTAGTAGATCGGGGGTTCCAGATATGCTGGAGATGGCCACATGGTCCAGGAATTCCAATGCTTGAGCATGATCCTTGAGAGCTCCAAGCCTTGGTTCCACCACTATCAACCCTGAACCTCTCAAGCCTTGGCCCCACCACTATCAACCTAGAACTTAACCATAGATAATACTGCTGAGGATGGACTGAGGTTACATTGCTTGTGCAATATGGAAATATCTTATAAACTGAAGGTGGTTATAGCAAACACACATACATACACACTTTTGCATGAGTATGGTTACTACTGTAAATGTTAGATCTTTGACTTCAATTAGATTTCTCTTTTTTTTTGTTTGTTTGGTTTTTTTTAGAGAGAGATTTTTGGTATAGGGCACATGTGCTCACCAGAGAGACAGAAAGAGACAGATGGAAAATGAGAAACTACCCCCCAGGGGGAATGGCCACACCACTATCCCTTCTCCTCTAGTCTCCTCTCAGGATTTTGGGCACACATAAACACATGCTCGGTGTGAATTTTAAGTCTCTGGGTTCAAGACTTGAACCATGATCGACTACATGGAAGTCCAGCAATGTAACCATTATACCATCTGCTGGCCCCAACTTTAACTAGATTCCTTTTAAAATATGGACTCTTTTACATCAAGTACAAAGTATAGCCTTCCTAACTTTTCCAATAGTTTCTTTTCTTGAACTTCAGAAGATTCTGGTGTAGCTCTTCTACTACTGAAGGCAGTAGAGGTGAAAGGTAGTGACAGTGCTATATATACAGAAGACAAAGAGTAATGCTTATAAGAAAAAAAATCTCAATGAATTTTACAGATCAATTATGTGATCCTCAAACTGCTCACGGCCATTTAAAATGCATTGCCTATAATTTTTGGATAGGACTTTGGTATTGTCTGTGGATCAAAAAAATGCAGGTCTGAATCTTCTGCAAAGAAGGTGTTAAAAAATATATACTGAGTCATGAGCCGACGGGCGTCACTAGGAATAAAGGAGGACATTATGTAATGATAAAAGGATCAATCTACAGGAAGACATAATCCTAAACGGGTATGCACTTAATAGTCTCAAAACACAAGAAGTAAAACTTGACAGAGCTGAAAAGAGAAATAAACAAATTCACAATTATAGTTGGGAACTTTAGTGCTCCATTCTCAGCAACTGGAAGAACTACTAAATCAAAAGTCTACTAGAATATAGGGAACCAGCAGTTAGCGTAATGGCTATGTCGCTGGATTCCCATGTAGTCGACTGCGGTTCGTGTCCCGGGCCCGGTGGCTTAAAACTCACGCCGGGCACGTGTGTGTGCGTGCCCAAGATCCTGAGAGGAGAATGGAGGAGAAGGGATTGCGGTGTGACCATCCCCTCTGGGGGGTGATTTCTCGCTTTCTGTCTCTATGTCTCTCTCTGTCTGTCTGGCGAGCGCACGCGGCCTGTAGCGAAAACCTCTCCGAAAAAAAAAAGTCTACTAGAATATATAGAACTGAACAACAAAAGTTAGCCAACAGGATTCAATTGAAATAAAAAGACAATCCACCCAATCACAACAGAACAAACAACTAGACAGTTGTAAGCACCCATGGAATATTCACCAAAAGAGACTGTAGCCTGGACCAGTAAACAAGCCTCAACAAATTTAACAGTGTTGGCATTATACAGAGTGGTGTCTGACCACAATGGATTCAAACTGAAAAAAAAAAAAAAAAGGAAAAGCACAAGAGGGAAAATAGAATATTTAAACACTTGGAAATCAAACAACTGTACACTTCTAAATAAAACAAGGATCAAGGAAAAAGTCTTAAAGGAAATTTTTTTAAATGGATAGAACTATGTGAAAAATTAAAATACAGCCTATCAAAATATGTAGGGGCCAACAGATGACATGGTAGTCAAGGCGTTGTACTTCCCACATGTGCTGACTAAGGATCAAGTTCCAGACCTGGTGGCTTGCTTTCACATTTTCTCTCTCCCTTTCTGGTGAGTGCATGCGCCCTATAGCAAATTAAAAATAATAAGAATAAATAAAATAAAACAAGTAATTCTTTAAAAAGTATGTATGATGCAGCTAAAGCAGTGCTCAGTGAGGTTTATACCAGTAAATTCTTAAATTTGAGGTGAAAAAAGGTCTCAAATCGATAATTCAATTTCCTAATTCAAGACACCAAAAAAAGAAGAGCTGGATAATAGAAAAACAAAGCCAAAGCAAACAGAGAAAAATAATAACTACAATAGCAGAAAGCCATGAAACTGAAAACAGAAAAGCAATATAGAAAAATAGGTGAAGGACCAGCAGTTGGTGTAATGGCTACGTCACCGGACTCCCATGTAGTAGACCATGGGATACAATTGAGACCTGAGAAATAAGCCCATGTATATATGGTCAATAGAGTTTCAACAAGGATGTCAAGACCATTCAATGGGGAAAGGACCATCTTTTCAACAAATGGTAATGGAAAACTGGATATCCACATGCAAAAGAATGAAGTTCGAGCCCTATCTCATAGAACAAGAATAGATATATTTCTGAAGAAGACATACAAATGACCAAAAAGCACATGAAAAGATGATTAGCACTGCTAGTCATCAGGAGAATGCAAATCAAAATTGCAATGAGATACCACTTCATACCTATTAGGATAGCTATTTTCAAGAGAAAAATGAAAACTAATAATTGTTGGTAAGGCTGAATCCCTGGTGCACTGCTGGTGAGAATGTAAAATGATGCAGCTGATGTGAAACAGCATTACCATATGGTCTAACAATTCCACTTCTAGGCATCTACCCAAATGAATTGATAACAGGGATTCAGTGCTCATTAGTTGGGCTGTTAAAAATGGCAGCTGCATTATTCACAACAGCCAAAAGGGGGGAACAATTGACATGTCCATCAGAAGATGAATGGATAAACATGTCATTAAATATTATTTGGTGTTTAAAAAAGAAATCCAGATACATTCTACAACATGCATGAACTTTGAGAACATGTTAAATTACATAAACAAGATACAAAAGGACAAATATCACATGATTCCACTTACATTAGATATACAGAATGGGCAAATACATAGAGGCAGAAAGTATAACAGAGGTTACCAGAGACTAGCAGGAAGGGGAATGGGGAGTTATTGCTTAATTGGTACAGAGTTTCTGGGATGATGGAAAGGTTCTGGAAATGAATATTGGTAATGGCTGTATACATCACAAACATACATAGGCTGCTGAATTGTACACTTAAAAATAATACATTTTAGCTTATATACATTTGCCACAATCTTAAAAAAACTCAACCTAGATGAAATACATAACTCGAATATTTTTGTAACTATAAATTAAATCAAATATTCACATGTTATACAAATATTAACATAGATGACTTTTTTACTTAAATGTAAATTTACACAATATTTGGAAGAAAACATCACAATGTTCAGAAGAAACCATAGGAGAAAAATCTTTGAGACAGAGGACTTGCTAAAGCATTTATTCACTTGACAAAAAAAAACATGATCTGTAGGAGGAAAACCTGGTACATCTGACCTCATCAAAATTAAAACAATCCTCTGCAAAAGACCCTGTTAAGAAGATGAAAAGGCCCACCTTCAGCAATGAATGACAGATCATTTGGACAGAAAAATCAATAAAGAAGCAATGAACTTGGACAACACTGTAGACATATGCAGAAGGTGCCATCCAACAACAACAGAACAAACATTCTTTTCAAGCGCATGGGAAACCTTCTCCAGAACAGATTATATGCTAAAACACAAAACGAGTCTTAATAAATTTAACAAGACTGAAATCATATCAAGTATTTCTTCCAATCACAATGGTATACAACTAGAAATCAATAAGAAGAAACTGGAAAAAAATAACAAATATATGAGAATTAAACAACATGGTCCTGAACAATCAATGGGTCAAAAAAGAAATCAAAAGGAACCAGGTGTGGGGGACCAGCAGTTAGTATAATGGCTATGTTGCTGGACTCCCATGTAGCTGACTGCGGTTCCCGTCCCGGACCCAGTGGCTTAAAACTCACACCGGGCGCATGTGCGTGAGTGCCCAAGATCCTAAGAGGAGAATGGAGGAGAAGGGATTGTGGTGTGGCCATAACCCCTGGGGGGTGATTTCTCGCTTTCTGTCTCTCTCTCTCTCTGGCTGGCTGGTTGGCGAGCGAACGTACCCTATAGCAAAAAACCTCTCCAAAAAAAAAAAAAGGAACCAGGAGGAAGTAATGCCCAGCACTGAAAGACTGGTCTTTCCTCACTCATTAGTGGAAGCTAAGAGATTTGATTCCATAGAAGTAGAGAATATAAAAGTGGATACCAGAAGCTGGAGAGAGGAGGAAGGTAAGTGGGGAAAACTTGGTTAACAGATACAAGAACACAAGTAGATAAGTGGAATGACACCTAGAGCACTGCAGCACAGCAGAGCAACGATAGTTGGTGACAATGTGAGGTATATTTTAGCATAGTTAGAAAAGTGGATTTCAGGGGGCCAGCAGGTGGCAAGATGGTTAAGGAACTGGACTCACACATGCTTAACCATAATTTAAGTCCCAGACCTGACGGCTTGCCTTCTCACTTTCTCTCTCTCAGGACAAATGAAATAATAATAATAAATAATAATAATAAATAAAGTTAAATAATTCTTAAAAAAAAAAGAAAAGTGGATTTCAAATGTGAACAACACAAAGTAATGGTAAATATTTGACATGATGGATATGTTTATTG